GGGCTGGCTGCTGGGGCTGCTGTGCCCGCAGCCCACAGGTGCTCTGCTCTGTTCTTGCTGCGTGTGTGGGAGTTCAGTCTCCACTGCACTGGTCCTCTTGGTTCTATGAGGTTTTTAGTTTTATTCGCCACTCTTTAACTTGCCGTGGCAATAAGGGAAGGCGTTTCCTTACATTGAATTGTTCCCCATGCCTGACATGTGTGCTTGTGCCTGTTTCTGTGTGTGCAGGGGAGGTGTTTGTGCTGGATGATGGAGGGGAAGTGGACCTGGACCTCGGGAACTACGAGCGCTTCCTCGATATTCGACTCACCAAAGACAACAACCTGACCACGGGGAAGATCTACCAGTATGTCATTAACAAGGAGAGGAAGGGAGATTATCTYGGCAAAACAGTCCAAGGTGATGCAAAGCTTCTCTTCTCGTGCGTAGAAATGCATTCTGAATTTCAGTCCTGGCTGRATGCTTTTGTCTTTCATCTTCTCTTAAAGCTCTGCACTGTTCTGCTTGTGTCTGGACTGTGCTGCACATGGGTTCAGCATAAATGTGAACAGACTGCAGACTAATGCTCCTGGGGTTGTTAGCTGGTTAAAATGATTATTGCTTTTGTTAACTCATGTCATTAGAAAACCTAAATAATTTGTGAGTATCAGATCAGTCCCATCCCTTTATAACCATTYTCCACAGCTGGTTGACATTAGGACCTTTACAGGCAGTTGAAAACAGAGTAACTTCTCTCTGTTTAGAGCAAAGAACAGTTTGTGCTTGAATCTTWCAGCTTAAAGGAAATGGTGTTTACATGTATTTGAATTGAGGCAGGGTTCCATTTCCTGCCAAGGAACTTGAAAATCACAGCCAAGAATAATCACTTCAAAAATGCATAGTTCTTTACACAAATTCCGGCTCCAGCCCTATGAGAAGCACTAGCTAGTGACTGTCAGTAATTTGCTCTGTAATGATTAAGAGGGAGAAACATATTTGGGGGCTTTAACCCTTGCCTGGGTTTCTTTTCCAGTTGTCCCCCACATCACAGATGCCATACAGGAATGGGTAATGAGGCAGGCACGGATTCCYGTGGATGAGGATGGCATTGAACCCCAAGTTTGTGTGATTGAGGTTTGTAAGTTTTAAAAAGTAGATTGTTTTGTTTCTTGTATGCAGTATTTTGATCTATATGCATTATTTCCATATTTTTTTACAGGAATGTTCACCTTGGCGTGTTATTGAATGGGTTAAAAATTCTGCTTTGATCTTTTGAACTGCAAGCTGCAGCTGCCTCATGAGGGGCAGCCCCACAGGACCCAAGGGAACAGCTGGAGCTGAGTCAGGAAGGTTTAGGYTGGATATCAGGCAGAGGTTCTGTCCCCAGAGGGTGCTGGCACTGCCCAGGCTCCCCAGGGAATGGTCCCGGCCCCGAGGCTGCCAGAGCTCCAGGAGSGTTGGGACAGCGCTGCCAGGGATGCACAGGGTGGGGTTTGGGGGRTCTGGGCAGGGTCARTGTGGGACTGGACRACCYTTGGGGTTCCCTTCCAGCTCAGGAGATTCTATGACTTAACSTACAAAAATGAATTTTAACTCTGGTAACTTAATATGCCAGTCTGATTTAATTGTGCCATGCCCTCTTCTTCCTTGGTGGATGGAGGGAGGGTGGGTCTCCCTGGAAGCAGTTGTCTTTGCTCCACAGCAGTAAAAGGAGCCTCAAAGTGACCAGTTCAAACACAGACGTGGGACAGGGAATGGCCCAGGTTAGTGGTGACAGTTTCCAGTGTGTTTATGGAACATGCTGCTGCCAAAAGAGATGGAGCAGGGCAAAGGCTCTGACACTGCTGAGCTGACTGCTGGGATATGCTAACCCAGGAGAGGGAGCTTGTCACAGAGCCCAGGTCATGGTGACTTGGACTCTGCCTGCAGCTTGGGTGCCAATTTCTGTGCCAGGATCACAAGCCCAGAACTGAAGTACCAAGGAGGCACTGTCTGACAGGGCCTGGGAGGCTCCAAGGATTGTCTTGTCTCTGTTCCTGCATGTGTTCACTTTCTATAGTTCCTAAATCTTAACAGAAATTTGGCTTCTCAGTGCCACCTAATGTTCATAAATCATCATTTTAATACCTGAGTCTTTTCTCTGAAGCGAAAATACAGGTAAAGCTGGTGTCTCTGGAGAGATGCTTCCCATATGAGAAACTGTTTTTCTTGTGGCTTTTCGATTTGTGGGGAAATGTTGATGGTAGAGCAGTACTTGGAGTAGATTGGAGGCTGTGGGAGYGTGCAGCTGGCAAATCCTTGTGCTTGGCATGGAATAGAATCACAGAATATCCTGAGTAGGCAGGGACCCCCCCAAGGATCACCCAGTCCCACTCCTGGCCCTGCCCAGACCCCCCAAACCCCACCCTGTGCATCCCTGGCAGCGCTGTCCCAACGCTCCTGGAGCTCTGGCAGCCTCGGGGCCGGGACCATTCCCTGGGGAGCCTGGGCAGTGCCAGCACCCTCTGGGGACAGAAGAACCTTTCCCTGCTCTCCAGCCTGAGCCTGCCCTCGCCCAGCTCCAGCCTCTACCTGGGTCTTGTCCCAGGGATCATAGCAGAGATCGGCGCTGCCCCTCGGGAGGAGCTGTGTTGGTGTTGATCCTCCTTTAGGGAATCAGAGGGATGTACTGGGGAGATGTTTGTGTGTTATGTATATTTTCATGTCTTTAGTGTACAGCTTCAGCAGGTGCTGTTTTGGCAGTAGTTTAATTCCCACTGTCTGTATATTCCCAGCTTGGGGGCACAGTGGGTGACATCGAGAGCATGCCTTTCATCGAGGCCTTCCGCCAGTTCCAGTTCAAAGCCAAAAGAGAGAATTTCTGTAACATCCACGTCAGTCTGGTTCCCCAGGTAAGCACCCAAAATATACTGGTGGTTAGAGGCTTCCTCAATCCAAATTTGCTTCCTAAACAGGTGTATCTGAAATTCTATGTTCTTAGGTGCTGTCACTTCTGTATTTCTGTGTCTATAAACTTCTGGCAGAAATGCAGAGGTTATATTGTTAAGTACTTAAAAAATCTTACAGGAATTGAACAGAAACTTTGCAAAGTGCATAAATATGTGTTAAAGGYTTGGGAGTTGCAGCAAGTGCAGATTTGCATCTTCAGCTGCTGAATTGCCTTCTAGCTTTTGCAGGGAGACTTGATTTCCAGGGTGAAAGCTTTCAGTTTCCCTTCATTTACATGGCCTTTMATTTCTGTAAAGCTATTTCATGGCTGTTTGGACTCACTAATAAGATAATATTCCAAGCTTTTTCTGGAGTTTGTTAATATTTTTCTTTCTATTTGCTTTCCCACCTGCAAGATTTATATTAGCTGTGGCTCATGAAATATGCTGGGTTATTTATGAAATTTTAAAAAATTATACCATATTTTGAAATGTAATCTTATTTTCCCCCCTAATCCATATTTTTAATATGTGTTTTCATCTTTGACAGTAATTTTATAGACTCTCACATCTGACTACTGTGTGAGCTGTAAATCTGAGGGGCAGTTGCCCTTGGTTCAGAGATTCAACTAAGAAAAGGTGTTGGGAAGTGGCTCTTTGATAAGAATCAGATAGTTAGGAATCAGAAATCAAAACAGAATATCCTTGTGTGCCAAGCAGGTGGGGTGAAAAGCACATGAAGGTGTTTCATGCTGTAGAAGCCCTGATAAAATCTCAACTGTATTATCTGTTCTGGTTTTGAAGACAATTTGCAGTCCCAGCTAAACAAAAAATCTCTCTGCAGGGGTAATTAAAGAAAGATCATACTTTTTTCATAGTTTGGGAGAGTATGAGATTGCTTCTGTCAGACTTTGCTGGATTTGACAGAGCAAATTGATAATCATGGAGTGCAGATCAATCTTTGTTCTCTTCTCCGTTTTCCCTCTTCTGTCCAGGTGATCTATGGAGAAAAATTAGAAGTATGAAATATTAGGTATTTGGATGTAGGAGTGGATAAACCTTAGGCTCTCTGKCCCTCTCCTTCCTCACTCCAGTGGGCAGGTTGGAACTCAGGTTCTTACTGGTTGCTTTCAGTCCTGGGGATTAAAATGGTGTACATGAGTTTCATGTGAATTGTCTGAGAACTGAGTTTTTACAAGATGATGTAGAGTCCTGATTAACCTGCTGAATTACYGCTGCTTATMATCATAATCTGACACACCAACTCCTGCTCTTCTCTGACCAGCCAAGCTCGACAGGGGAGCAGAAGACCAAACCCACCCAGAACAGTGTTCGTGAGCTCAGAGGTCTCGGGCTCTCCCCAGATCTGGTAAGGTTTGTGTTGCATGGCTTTGAATGGAAAATTGCACTCCTGGCTTGTTGCTACAGCAGTSTTGTCTAAGTAATGCTGGAATTGAGAGCTCGTGTGTAGTGGTGATAAATAAGGAAAACAGAGTTGTTGGTTTTTTTTTTTTTTTTCTCAAATCACAGATACTGCACAAAGACAGCTCTTGTTACAGGTTTGTTTTGTGAATGCCTGAGTATTTCTGTTTTGCATCACAGCCCTGATGTTGTTGCTCTGTTAGATTGTTTGCAGGTGCTCCACTCCACTGGATACCTCAGTAAAAGAAAAGATTTCCATGTTCTGTCATGTTGAACCAGAACAGGTAAGAATTGCTGTGTGTGCTTTCTTGCAGTAAATATTGGAGCTGTTTGTCAGATGCTGAGGGGAGTTTTGCCTGAGACAGCAGTTCTAACTCTGTTTTGGTAGCTGCATAATTCATTTGCTGCCTTGTCTTAATCTCCCTTACTGGCACATGGACCTGTTGCTAAACCAGTTCTTGACAGTGCCAGGAGCCAGGTTTTCATACAAGGTAGTTAATGTAAGCTTAGAGAATTCTGGAGACTCCAAGGGGATTTCTGAATCACTGTTTTGACCTTAATTATACTTCCACATTCCCTCTGTAAACTTAAAAGAATAAGATTTTTCAGTATTTAGAGGCAAAAGAATTGCCCCAAATTAGGTTTAAAGGATATATGTCTGTATTTCATACAGTCCTCTTTTCACAATATTGTTCTGCCTGCGATTTCTTGAGGAGAAATTGCACAGAGAGGTTGAAATGGTATTTGGGAGAAGCATTGCTTCACTTGAATGTTGCGTGATATGCACAAATTCCATGTTAGCATGATTCTTTTTATACTGAGACTCATAGCACAGTCTAAGGTGGATCTTGGAAAATAGTCAAAAAGCATATAGCACTTTCCAATCTAGCTGGAGCTTGAAAAACTTTGTCTTTTTGTGGAAGACTGAGTATTACTTCACAATCCCAGGTTGTGTTAAGTAGTTTTTATTAATTTGCTCTACAACAAGACCAAACTTGAGTTCTGCAATTTCAAGCACTGCACTGCTGGCAATAATGTTGATGTGTCATCAGTAAAATATCTACCTCTTGTTGGCCAGGAATTCAAAATAAGTTGGCTCTTGTTCCTTCCCAGGAAGTTTAATGCAGTTCTGTGTAGTTGTTGCTCTGGCTGCAGTTGCACTTAGATTGAGAAGTAGACAGCACTGAGGGTAAAAGAGGATAATGTGCAGCCAAGGAGGTTCGATTGGTGCAATGTTGAACTCTGCTTTCATTTCAGTCAGTAGAAATGAGGATTTAAAAATAATTGTGCCAGTGTGTTTTGGATTCCTGAAGTACAGCTTCATTACTAATGGACATGTGACACTTGTCCTGAGCCATCTTTTCCCATTTCACTGGACTAGGACTGTTGTTGTAGATTTCCCTCATTGACCTCAGAACGGTTCAATCCTAAATTTGAGAATGTAAAATGAATTGCTGCATTGGGGTCACAGATTTCTGTGGGTTTGAATCTCACTGGGAGCCCTGCTTAGGAAGGGCAGTGGTGGGAAGGGACAAGCTGTGCCTAGGGCAGTTTGTAGCTTCACTGGGGATTCTGTGGCACAGGAGCCTCTCTGGAGTGTTCTTTGAACTTTGCTGTGTGCTCACATAACGTGCTGGGCAGCTGACTTCCCTGCTGCTGGGTTACTGGGTTACCTACAGCCTGTCCCAAGGGGCTCTAGGGAGCTGTAATGCATTGGAAGTGCTGAAGGATGGCCTTTTCACACATATGGAAACAGTATGAAGCTATTCATGTGTTATGTTATTGAACATGTTATTGCCTGGAAGTTTAGGTGGTCATGTGGTTCTCTGCTAGAGACAGCAATGCTCTGAATATCTGTGTAAAAATAATTGCACAGGCACTGCCTGTGTTTAAATGCCTGTTTTAATGATACTCTTATTTTATGAACAGGTCATTTGTGTTCATGATGTCTCCTCTATCTACCGGGTTCCTCTGTTGTTAGAGGAGCAGGGAGTTGTGGACTACTTCAGGCACAGGCTGGACCTTCCCATCGAGAGGCAGCCCAGGAGGATGCTCATGAAGTGGAAGGAGATGGCTGACAGGTGAGCTGCACTGCTAGGCACACTTAACACACCCCAAGATTGGTTTCTCTTCCTGGTTGCTGGTTGTGAGATGATGAGTGTTATTTCCTGTTCCTCAAGCATTCTTACATACTCACAATGTTTTTTTCTTTTGCTTAGAGCCCTATCCAAACCTTGAATGTTTCCAGGGGTAGGCAACCCACAGCTCCTCTAGACAGCCTGTGCCAGTACCTCACCACTCATTGTACAAAATTCCATCCTTATATAGCCTCAGTATCCCCTCTTTTAGTTAAAAAACCATCACCCCTTGTTCTACTAAAATGTCTGTCCCTATGTTTCTCATAAACCCTCTTACTGAAAGCCTGCCTTTAGGTCTCCCTGGAGCTTTCTCTTCAGGCTGAGCCACCCCAATTCCCTCASCCTTTTCCATAAAATCTTGTAAGAGAAACTTACTGAGATCCTTACCTTATGTTAGTGTACTGTCTTGTGTYAAACCCAGTTTGAAATAATGAAAARATGGGACAGCTCTGCCCTCCCTTTTTATAAAAACAACTCTCAGTACATTGCAAAGTGTTGAAATCCTTTTGTAGCTATATGGAGATGTCAGGAGTGTCAATACCTTTGAGTGTGTTTTCAGGCAGGTGAGAAAAGTGGTTGGTACCTGTTCTGTCTGAGACTCCTTGGACACTGAGGGGTTTTTTTCTTGTTAGGAATAAACTTGGTGTTTGTGGAGAAATAGTGGATAGAGTCTCTTCAGACAGGGCTTGAATGCAAATTGAAGCCGTAGATATGTTTGTTTTTATAACAAATTAATTTTTAAAATCTAGATGTTTCCCATTATTTCTGTGCCTGTCACAGCCGTGTCAGTAACATTTCCTTTTGATGGGGAAAGCCCTTGGTTGCCAGCTGGGCTGAAGTATTTGACAATTTGATATAAACTTTTAACAAAATCTTGGCTGTAGTGAGGAGTGCTGTGTGAATCCATGCTGCCAGCTGCTGGGGATTGAAATTGTAGGCAGCACAGCCTCAGGACTCCAGAAATGCTCTCTGTGCTTGTAGCTGCTGATACAAACTCAGTCAGCAGCGTGGGAAGATTCTGTGCAGTGCAAACACACACCAGGCTGTGCTTTGATCCTCTCCTAAGAGTTCATTGCAGCCTTTGGATCTAGTACAGCTTCCTGAACAGGCAGTTTGGATCTGCTCAAAATGGCATTTAATCATCAGGAGAGATGAGTTAATTTATATGTGGCTTTCTGCAACTGTTTTCCTCTGTCATTGTTTTGGTTTTGATCTCACTTTGATGTTTTTAAGTCATATTTATTATAAAAGGTCACTCTTCCAAAGACGTCAGCTCTGTTGGACAGAGTTTGAAGAGCACAGCTGTTTCTTGAAAAGTTAAACAGAAGAATGGGAATTTCCATCCCTCTGCTGTTACTGCTGGAATAACCTGTGTGTTCTGGTGTCGTGCAGGTACGACCGTCTACTTGAAACATGTTCCATTGCACTCGTGGGCAAATACACCAAGTTTTCTGATTCCTATGCATCTGTCATCAAAGCACTGGAACACTCTGCCCTGGCCATCAACCACAAACTTGACATTAAGGTAGGAATGGGTCTGTGTGGGTGGAAAAAATAACCCCCATCCTCATTTCACCTACAGTGCTGCCCATCCTAATTCAGATTTTCACAAACCCATAGACAGAAGGGAGAAGCGATTCAGCCAAACTTTCAAATTGTCCTTGCATCAGAACAACTGTTTTGGTCATCACAACAACATCAAAAAAGCTGTTACCAGGCCTTAACCATCTTCAGAGCAGAGCAGCCTCTCAGCCTGTGAGCTGCACAAGGTGTCTGCAATGATGGAAACACCTCAGTGCTCAGCTTTGTGTGCAGAAATTTTCCTTTCAATGGACTTTTAAATGTCCAGCAGTTTTATGATGCTGGTGAGTCATAGAAATAGGTGGTTTCTTTGTCACAGCACTGATCTAGGTCTGGGTTACCTTTCACCTTCCAAAATCAGTAGAGATGAAAAGAAGAGAAACAAATATGGCTGATGAAGTGTAAACCCTGCACACGAATTTGTGGGTAGTCATTGGCACAGCTGTGTCTGAGTGGCTCAGAAGGGAATGAGTTCTGTGAGCTCTGTGCATGCAGCTTTTACACTGAAGAATTGAGTAACAGTAGTTAGTTAACTGATTAGTAGTTTTTCAACCTCAAAAAAAAAAATCCAACTCAGAATGGTTATTCTATTCTATGGTAATTCAGCTCCAGAATGGTTATTTTAAAGGGTTAGCAGCCTGCCAGAACATCCAGAAGTTCAGAGGTACTGGAATGCTGGAGATGAGAAAACGGAAAAATTGTGGGTTTTTTTCCATTGTCTTAACACTCTTTAATTACAGCAGCCTGTGTTTCACCATATCCTATTTCTTCTTCTGTGCCTCTTTCAGAGGATGTTTATTTGATGAGAAAGTGATACAGTTTTTTTTTCTCTCTGTGTGGTGGTTTGTGTCTGCACAGCCCCATGTTTCCACCTCACTGTGGTGCATTAACATCTCACACATAACATTACAGTCTGGGGCTCATGGGCTTGGTGTCTGTCACAGCAGAGCTGCAGAGAGGGGAGGACAGAGAAATCTTGGGTGCTGTTTGTGCACCAGTAGCAGGATGGTGAGAATGGGAAATCAGCCCAGAAAAAATTTAGGTATCATTAGGAAACAAATCCAGAGCTGTCCAGGAGGAATGATACTTTCTTAATTTAATGAGAATTCAGGAGATCCTGCACATTCTTGTGGCAATATCTCATCATCTTTTTGTTTTTGGGTTTGTTCCCAGTACATTGACTCTGCTGACTTGGAGCCGGACACTCTGCAGGAGGAGCCTGTGCGGTACCACGAGGCCTGGCAGAAGCTCTGTGGTGCTGAGTGAGTTCTGCTCTGGTCCTTTCCTTGGAGAAGGTCTGATAAAGCTGCTGCTGTGACAGCTTTGGAATGAAGGGCCTCCCTCACTGGAGACTGTTTCCTTAGGCAGTGTACCAGCACACTTGACAAGGCCCCAAACACCTCTGAGGGACATTTAGCATAAGATGTTAAATGGAAAATTATTGAATAAGCGAGTGAGTTGGTGAAAGGGAGCAGTGGGGGAAATGATCGTGCAGTGAGGATGTGCACACCTGCATTATCAGGTGCAAACAGTGAGAGGAAATCAGGAGAAAGGAAGGGTACTGGTTGTTAAAGCCAGAGTGAGAATGGAAGGTGCAAATGGGACCACAAGTTCTTTAGAAATAGTGTGAGAAGGGGAAAAGTGTTGGTATGCAGGGCACTGCCAAGAGTTAGCAGAGAACAAGGACAAGTGGGTCCTGTTACCCTTCAGGGCAGCACGATTTGAGGGGGATCAGAAGAAAGAAAGAACCTCCTGCAGAGTTGGGTGTTAGGAGAACCTGACACTGGAGAGGCTTCCTCACCATGGGCCTGGCTGGGTGATGTGTTTGCAAATGTGTGTGGTGCAGAGTATGTGAGTCCCACAGCATGAACCATGTTAGTGTGGTAACCTGTACTGTATTTGGGATCTCTCTTTGGGAAGGAAGGTAAATTTGGCATTTATAAAATGTTTCCCTATAGATTCAGTTTCATGTGACAGCTCACGTGAAGTCGTGTGGAAACTGTTGCAGCCAGGCCTTGCCACGTGGCTGCTTCAGAGCCCTTTTCAGAGAGAGGTGTTGCAAGTCCAGGATTTTATGGGAGGGAGGTGGAATGTGGTTTGGGGAAGCCATGCTGAATGGAATCTTTTCATCCTCATGCAGTGGAGTTCTGGTTCCTGGTGGATTTGGTGTTCGAGGGACAGAAGGCAAAATTCAAGCTATTTCCTGGGCAAGAAAACAGAAAAAACCCTTCTTAGGTGAGAAACATGTTTCATTCATAAGCAGAAATAAAGCAAAGGAAAGGAAGTAGAATAACAGCCTAATGGTCTGCTGCAAGAGCTCTCCTGATTTTCACTGGTGTCTGGGATGTGCAGTTTTGAAGGCAGTTGGCTGAAGAAGGCAGAGATCTGTGCTCAGCTGAGCTGGGAATGCAGCCTCATCCCTGGTTAGCTCTGAAGTGGTCAGAGTTGGCTGGGATGTGCTGACAAGCAATCTGTAATGAGGGGATAGCAGTCTGGGGATGTTTCAGAGCTGGCTGTGGTGATCTTGGCACCAAGAAATACGTGACTGCATTTCAGTGGAATGCCTGTGGTGAGAGACTGAAGTGGCGTGTGAGCAGAGCATTTCAGGATTAGAGATCCTTAAATCCCAGTCAGGTCTGCCTCATCCAGGTTTTCCTGTGGCTCAGGATCCTCTGTGAAGGCTTTACAGTGTGGGCTCAGAGGTCCTTGTCCTGAGCTGATCTGTGTCCTGCCTTTCCTTCCACAGGAGTCTGTTTGGGAATGCAGCTGGCAGTGGTGGAGTTTGCTCGCAGTGTCCTTGGTTGGCAAGGTAATTGCACAAAACCCTTCCTGCCTTTTTGCCACTTGGATTGCTTGAGTAATACCTGAGATTTTTAAAAATACCTGTAGTTTTAATTGTTCATAAGTAAGTCTCATTTTTTCCCTTGGCCTGTAAAATTCCCCATCTCCTTTGCTAATCCAAAATCAAAGGAGCATTTTCCTTATCCTGTTTAAATAAAAATCAATGGAGTAAGTCATGCTTATAGTGACAGAAAGGTTCCTATTGCTTAACATGAAGTTCAGCTCCTGAATGAAACACCTTGGTGCCCTTTGTGTGCTGGGTATCCCAAATTCCCACTGCAGCCATGGGAATGAAGCCCAAAAAGCAGTTCAGCCAGCAGTTTTAAATCCTTCAGTGAGTGGCATGACCTTCTGAACTCCACTGCTTGAACAGAGCAGGTCCCTGTTAACAGAACTCCCATCAGAGAGTGCTAATTTGAGTTTGCAGCCAGAAGTGAGGGTGAGGAAAGAAGACTTTATCTGGCCATGCTGCTCCCTTCCCCCTCCCTTCCTTTATTTCTGTGTTTGGTGGTGTTTAATGTGTTTTTCCTGAGCATGAGTGAGTTGCCCTAAGACTGCAACCTTTGAAATTGATACCAAACAGTGCTGCCAGCCCTGCTCCTGCTGTGGGGTGAGCTCTGTGCCCAGGAGGGGCTCAGCACAACTGGAGATGAGAAGCAGCTGTACCTGGGGTAGCTCCTGCAGGTGCTGATGCTGTGGTGTGAGACACTTGGTGTTTCTGACTGCTGAATGTTCCATTGCAGATGCGAACTCCACAGAGTTTGACCCCAAAACTTCTCATCCAGTGGTGAGTTTATGGTGACTTACTTGTGGTATCCTGACTAGACTTAACTGCACATCCCTGGGCACATTTGCCAGGAGAAGATGTGGCTGCCCCATCCCTGGAAGTGTCCAAGACCAGGTTGGACAGGGCCTGGAGCCACCTGGGATGAGCTTTGAGTTCCCTTCCAACCCAAACTGTTGTGTGGTAGCCACACAGACCTGAATTCTTTGGAACATTTGTGGAAGCCTCTGTGTTCCTTGTCCAGGGTCCACCATCGTGATTGGCTTCTGCTATAATTTAAAATACTACTCAAAGTGAGGAAGTTATCAAAAAACAGTTTATGATATTATTTGTCAAAGAATAAGCAATTCTGATTTGGGGATTTTGCTCCCATAAATGTGCCTGTTTGTTTAAATGCAGCTCAGCAAACAGCATAGTATTGGTGTGTGAGGTAAGGGTAGACTCTGCCTGAGATTTCCTATGTAAAAGCTTCCAGAATATTCCACAAATCTCCCACATGTTCTGTGCATCCTTTACTAGAACAACTCACCCACCTGACCTGGTTCTGTTGGTCTGCCTGGTCAAGACAGTGTTCCTTGGGGTGGTTTCCTCAATTTTTTGCATGAATGTTGGTGGGTTTTTTTTTCCTTTAATGTCAGAGTCTGCCTGGGACTGTTATTCCAGCCTGATTCCCACCTCCCTCTGGATTCTTTCCACAGGTCATAGACATGCCAGAACATAACCCTGGCCAAATGGGTGGCACCATGAGACTTGGCAAGAGAAGGACACTCTTCCAAACCAAGAATTCAATCATGAGTAAGGCCCTTCTTCCCTCTTCTGAAAAGGTTTCCTGGGAATGGCTTGCATGTGTGGTGGGTTTGGGGAAGTGGGACTGGGAATGTTGAAACATCCTTGAATGGCAGCAGTTCACAGGCTGTTGTGGTGGGGAAATGGGGTTCAGGGATTTGATTCCCTCCAGAAGGGGCAGATTCTGAAGAATGATACTCAAATGAATGTGATAAAAGTTGGTGTCACTGCTCTAAGGGACATCTTGCTTTTGGTGCAGGGAAACTGTATGGAGATCATGATTTCTTGGAAGAGAGACACAGACACAGATTTGAGGTAAAAATGCTGCTGTAGGTATTGAGCTTTCCTGTGTTATCCAGACTCAGGAGATCATGGCTTGTCTTGCTTCTGGTTTTCTAGGTCAATCCAGAGTTGAAGAAGTGTTTTGAAGAGCAAGGTCTGAAGTTTGTGGGGCAGGATGAGGAGGGAGAGCGGATGGAAGTGGTTGAGCTGGAAGGTGAGTCCTTAAGCAGTTGTTTTGTAGGTGTAGGATGGACAAGGGGAAGTGTTTGGAGGGTAATGGAGCAGGTTTTTGTGTGGGATCTCTTCAGACTGTCTCCTCCATCCATAAAATGATGGTGAAAACAGAATGCCATGTCCTTGTCCATTTATGGACAAGAGGCATGGAAATGATACTTCCCCATCATCAGGGCTTCAGCATGATCAGGATTTCACCTGCAGCACAGCCACAGGTAAGGCTTGACATGAATGTTTTGTGTGTTTCTCTCAGAGCATCCTTTCTTCGTTGGTGTCCAGTATCACCCCGAGTTCCTCTCCAGGCCCATCAAACCATCACCCCCATACTTTGGGCTCCTCCTGGCGTCTGCAGGGAGACTCACGCACTACCTACAGAAGGGCTGCAGGCTCTCACCCAGGTGGGTTTAAGACAGACCCCAGTTAGAACTGTCACAGGACAGTGCTGCTTCCTGCAGGATAAACTGGATCATCCTCTTGGCAGAGTTCCAGGGGATGTCTGGGGACATTGGTATTGCAGCATTTCTTTTTCCCACTGTTTCTTTGAAAGCTCATGCGTGGTGTCTCCAGGCTGATTGTGGGGCCACAGAGCTGTCCTGCAGAGAGGCCCTGGCTTCAGGGAGAGGAGATCTGTAGCCTTGTGCTGTCAGTCAGGGTGTTTGGGAAAACTGAGGCTGGGCCTGCTCTTTTACATGATTGGACATGTCATGGGCTTTTCCCCACATTCCTCAGCCAAGTCCCACATACAGGTTGGTCCATTAGAAACTTGTTCCTGCTGCTGGTTTAAAGAACAGGCCCTGGTGGTTGCAGCCTCATGGTTTTTTCTGCTGACTTCAGCTTTCTTTGTGTCAGTTTGTAAAGGAAGAGGCGTTTTGGGTGGATTTAATGGAGCAGTTACTGGTGCTGCTGCTCCCCAGCATCTGCAGTTCTGTTTGGCACTCAGGACTGTGCAACAAGGAACAACCCCTTGGTACTGACCTGCAGTGCTCCTCACAGAGCATTGAGGGGTTGCTGAGTGCTGACAGGCACTAAACAAAAACCAGACCAAGTGCAGAGGAGAATCAGCAGTGCCCATGTCAAAGCCAGGCAAATGCAGTGCCAAAGGGACGTGTTGGCTGAGCTGCAGTGCAGCTGCACCAGGGAGGTTTCTGTGTTGGTTGACACTGTGCTGGGTCAGGTGTGGTCCAGGAGAGTTTCTTGAGTGGTGGTCTCTAATTTCAATGCATCCAGGAGTTGAGGGTTATTTAAACTTCCTGCTTTTGCACATTTCAATTAGAAATGGCTCCTCACAGCAGAGGCTGTCAAAGTTTTTCCTGTGCTGCAGCACCCCCTGTTATAATTTAGTCCTTAAGCCCAAATCTCTGCTCTTGCAGGGACACCTACAGTGACCGGAGTGGCAGCAGCTCCCCTGACCTGGAGATAACAGAGCTGAAGTTCCCTTCAGCAAATCACGACTGATTCCTGGTAATGTTTCATGATCTCAACCTCTTCCTTTTGGAAATAATTCCTTGTCCAGACTTTGCTGCTAGCACCTGACTTTCACATTATTTGGTAGAAAGCTGGCTCACCATGAGCTGTGCTGGAGCTCACATGTTCCAGTTGTGCTGAGGGCTGGGTAGTGCCTCTGTGTGACAGCTGGGGGTGGGTGTCCCCTTAGCAAAGTGACACACAATGAAATACAAATACACAGGAGTTGGGGGTTAAATTCAGATAAAAGCACCAGTGGAGCACACACTCCTGAAAATGGAGGACAGAGCTGAGCAAGGGGTTCCTGGGTTTAGGAAATTCCAATGTTTTGCAGTCCCTCACCATTGTTAATGAATTTTGAAGTATCTATTGTGTCCCTCTCCTGGGACAGCAGTTCCTCTCAGGCCTGGGGCTCGAGCTCTGGTCTGTAAGGGCTGCAGGCATTTCAGGGATGTGAGAACTGGATGTGCAAAATTGAGGGAAGGAGGAGACACTAAAACCTGGCACGCAGACTGCACCAGCAGAACAGGCACACTTTGAGTTGTCTCTCTGTGCAGCAGGTGATTGTAAATGTGGCACCTTCC